GACTGTAGGGAGAATTAGCGAGGATTTTCGCGTTTTTCCGAATGTAACATTCAGCAAATAGAGACGACAGGAAGATAGAGAAAGAGAGAGAAAGGGGAGCAAAGAGAAATATGGATAGGCGAGTAGTGCGGGGTGGGAACATAAGTGAGTACTGCGAGGCCTAAACACACACGCGAGGAAGGTCCATCAATCTGGCCTGGAGTCAATATTGACTTGGTTGGGCCTCGTTGCAAAGAGGGCATCATCGGCACGCATAAAGAGGATCCGGATCGACCGCCGCGCCGCCGGTCCCTTTTCGCTCGCAGGACACGCGTGACAAATGCTCTGCGCGCAAACACCGGCGCATCTGTGTCCACAGGATAACCGATTCTCTTCCGAATGGCCTATAAATCCTGGAAGTGCAGTCGCGCTGCGGAGGTCCGTCGTTCGTTTCCTATTCGACGTACCTCCTATTCGCGTTCTTTACAAGCTTCTCTATCTGACACCCCGTATCGCCCGGAGCATCACCGTCGTCAACCTGAGTTTTTACATTTATCGAGCTCTTCGCTAGAAAGACACTCTCTCTCGGATTTTACTTGAATAAATTTCTCTGTGAATTGTCCAAGATCCGTCAATTGAAATGTACTCGCATATCATGATATATTGCGTGTATCATGGTTTAATCTATGTATTATAATTTCATCTGCAAATTATAAAGTAAAATAAACACATGTCTCCAGATATGACGATTCTTGATGTGTAATCTATGCGTAAATTATTTATATCGTTTAACCTATCTTGAAACGAACAAATATGGATTATTTTCATGTTTACGACTACGTTAATCTTAAGCTATGCATACTTATTTTTTATATATGTGATTATCAGACAAGGATTTGAAAAATTCCACTAGACTTTTCATCAATGCTCGAGAAAATTATCTCGTAGTTATTAACTTTCTTTTCATCGATTATAAATAACCGAAAAAAATATGTCTATTCTTTATTTAGAAATAGTCTAAAATCATGATAATAAATACTGAAAAACATAATCTTTAGTTTATTAATTCTACTAATAGTAAATAAAAAGTACGATTTTGCTGATGTATCTAAAAATTTAGATACATAGAGATCTGAAAATATATAATTTTGTTTCCTATAGGAAATTTAAGCATGATGAGTAAAACTGTAAAAAAATTTTTATAGTAATTAATTTGAGCGTCTTATATAATTCTTATGATAACAACAAAATTATTTTTAGATCTGTATCTAATTTTTAGATACTTCAGCAAAACCATTCTTTTCATATAAAGTTTCGAGATTCACTAAGATTTCAGAGACCTCAGAGTGTGTACAAAGCTAGGATTAATATCGCTAGGTTATACGTTTTCAAATAGGCTTTAAATACTTCAGCATTTTGTTTTAAACATCAGCTTGTTATTCCAGTCCTAGTATCCCCCAGCAATGTTTTCGCGACGAAGCTTTTTATCGCTGCTGAGAGAAACATTGCTGATCGCGCTATTACTTGTTCCTACATGTTCGTTGCACCGCGCATACAAATCGGATCATAAGTAAGATGCGTGCGCCAGGTGCTGTCGGTGTGTACCGAGTGCTGATTCTTAGTTGCTCGTCAGGTACCCGTTCACGGTCGTTTTAATCCGAGGACATGCACTTTTTTTTCCCAGGCCCGGACGACGGTCCATCGATCATCGACTCGCGGCGCGATGCGTGCGATATCGGTTTTTCGCGACGCGTGAGCGATGAGTCGACGTGATTCAGGTATCCGGGTACCTGAATGACAACCAGCGTGCGAGTCGAGAGATTCCGGTGTAACTTTCCGCAAACTCCTCGAAGATGTCAGGTCGACACTAAGCGGTGCGATGCTCCTCCGCAGTGTGTTCAAATATTCACGTATATTCTCCGACGACGAATTCTCGCTCGTCTCATTCACTCGCAGTGCAGGTACATCCCGATCGCTTGTCCACTTTATCGCCAACCGGTTTTTATAGTACATATCAAGTAACGGATGTTCGCGCGAAACTTTACACGGAATCGGGTGTAAGTAACGTATAATTACGCGAAAAGAGAATATACGAAGGAAATGTCTCCCCGCTCGCGTGCCAAGATTAATACATTCGAGAAAAATTGAGTCGATTAGTTTTCCAACTGATGTTTGATATATATCTGCCTTTTTTCGTTTATCATAAATCCATAAATATAAATGATACGCAGAATAATTTTAGTTTTAGTGAATAACTGGCATGCAGCGGATGATAAAAATCACTCCAAACGACACGAGAAGTTCATATCAAACGTTTAAAAAAAAAAAAAAATTGTACACACCCAGCATGAGCAAAGTCTCAAGCGAAATCTCAGATTTCTCCTTAATCCGCAATTTCTTCGAACTTGATGGCCGCGTTTCAATCGTAAGAACGATTAATCAATGTGGGACACACGATTATAATAAATGTAATTTACTTCAAAATTTCAGCAAACGTAAGGGAAAAATCGATATTACTGCATTGTAACGTGATTGTTAATTCGCAATTCACTTTGCGGCACGTGTGCCTTCGATGGAAGGCATCTACGAGAGAAATCACAGTGATGGCAATTAGCGCGCTCGTGGCACAAACGAGGGAACGAACAGCTAATGCATCGATATATCGGCACGTACGCTGTACGAATAATTATTGCTTTCGTCGGTCGCTACTGGCACGGTGTGTGCCACGTAATACTGCTTCGAAGCCACCTTGCTACTTTAAAGGAGACAGCGGCAACGACGAAGCCAGTGGTGCTTAAACCTAACGTAATACTTTTTTAATTCTGTCAATTTTTTCTGCAAGGCGTCCATATATATTCTTTCTTGGATTATTAATAACAAATCATTGAAAATGTATGTAGTATAAGATCTTTGACAAATTAAAGAATTCTCTAAACATGCTTTAGACCTTTAGATCACAAAATTTTAGGTTCATCAAATCATTAATACATTTACGAAAAATGAACTTTGAAATTTAAAACTAATAATTAATATTAAAAAATAACTATTTTTAGCTTTGATACAAATTTTAAGACGTTTCGGAAATACATCAATAATGATCGCGCATTTTTTCATAGATAAATTCTTCCAGACAATCAACAAAGTATACTATATTTTCAGTTCATCGACCGATAAAAATCTTTTGATGCAAAGTCTTTTTGATATTTGATAAGATGTAACTAACACTCCAGAGTTGTTTTTCTTTAAATATACGTTAAATGTACTAGGTATTACTAGCAAGCTAACGCTATTTGTCGTTATATTGATATCATAATGACGACAAAGAATGTGCTTGCTACCTGAGTAATTTTGATAAAGACAGAACGCGGTGTACGAAACTTTCTCGTCATGCTATATATATATGTATATACATAAATACGTAGATGTAACGTATTATAGAAATTGTATTGTTAATTATAGTTTTCGTTCCATGATTATTATAAATGGTCGAAAAAATAAATGAAATTAAATGAAAGAGAAATAATAGAAAACCTGCAGAATAGAGAGAGGAAACTTTAATACTCTCTATTAGAATTTTTTTTAAATATTACATCAATTTTGTTACTTCGTAAAAAATATGATGAAATAAAATTTCTTTTATAAAAAAAACTTCGTTAGGCACCACTGTGCGACACCTCGCACGGAGGTGATATAGTTGCTGCGGTTTGCACGGTTGCGACTGGCAAGCAGTTTCGATGCGATCGCATCGAGTAACTCAGCTCCGCCGTCTGGCTTCCTCTCTCGAGGACTAGGACTGAGTTATGGCCGGTGGTCGCGGACACTCGCCAACACGCTTCGTCGTTTAACCCTTTGCCCGATCCGGAGTCTCGAAGCGCATTCTTGCCATCGTCGGCTTTTCCCTCGAACTCCCTGGAATCTTACGATTTCTGGGAGAGAATGGTCGAATGTATGGTTATGCATCTGGCGAGGGACCGGTTCCTTCGCCTTTACGCGCGACGCGAATGTCGAACGTGTTTTTAAATCGAGAGAATTTCCTTTCTTTTTCTTTTTGTAAAATTGAATCTGCTTTGATATCGATGACATATTTTCATATTTAAATATCGATTCGTCGATGTGAGAGAAATTGTATTCTAAAAATTGTATTTTCTAATCCGAAAAAATGGACAACTGCTTTATATGGTTAATGTAGAATTGTTTTATATTAGCTTTACCGTCGTCATTCGTGACAAACGTCGAAACACAGTGGAGATTTGGTATTTACAGTACATACGCATCCGCGTTTGGCCAACGTACGACAGTTGGCCCTCGAAACATCGGCGACGCATCGAGGACACGCATTAACGCGACTCTCTCTCTCGACGCCATAATGCGCATCGCGCATGGGTTTTTCGCCCCAACACAATGCGTACGGGGGTTTCGACAATATGTTTGGGGCCACCGAAACGAGGCAATGGATGGATGGATGGATGGATGGGACAATCGCGGGGAGCGTATCTCTACGGGGTGTTGCACGGGGGTTTGTTTAGGTTCCCGGGCGCGAAAGGCACTCAACCCGCTAATCTATTTAGCCGTAGTGTTTGATATGGAATTAATGAGACTCGCCGGCATTATGCCCAGAGCCCGTAGATTTTCGGTTTAGTCGTGGAAATAAAAGGGGGGAGTCTGATGCAGTTGCGTTCACCTTTTCATAACAGGGATCGCCTCTTACTATTTGCCAGCTGCAACACGTCGTAACATGTCGTCGATACTTTGAGATTTCGTAGCGACGATATATCTAATCTGTAACGAAATATATGCGCTTAATTTTTTTTAGTTCTTAGAATAAAAAAAAAGAATAAGTTGAACTGACAATGGGATTAAAGTTAATCTACGTTGGTAGAAACTGATATAAAGTTTAACTTGAACTTGAAAGGTTTAACTTAAATTTACTTGGAGAAAATTTCTCGTGTATTGTAATCATGTTAATAAAGTCGATTTTTAACTAGATATTGATCAGAGCTCTACGATCTTATTGATTACAGTGTCCTGTGACAGTGAACTCGTCGCTGGCGCCGTCCTCGGCCTCGCCTGCAACCGGTGTGATCCTCAGCGCGGGCGGCTCGTCCCTGGTCAGCAGCGTAGCCGTCAGTACGACGACGAATCATCCTCTGGACGTAGCCGGTCTGTCGCAAGCGAGGATGGCAGTGACGAGCGCGATTGTGAGACCGCCTGGCAGTCCCACTACCTCGGTTAGCCCGTCCCAGGGTCATCCGCCACCATCGGCTGGGGGTCCTACTGCAGCCAGGTGTTGCGATACCGGTCGGCCGATCTTCACGGATCCACTGACGGGCCAGACTGTCTGCTCCTGCCAGTATGAATTGCTGGGTGGCTATCAGCGTCTAGGTGGTCTACCCACGGCCGCGCTGTCTATGTACAGTGCGCCATACGCGGCCGCCGCCGCGGCCGCGGCGTCCGAGGGTATGGCTGCGTACTTTCCTAGCTTGGGCGCCGAGCAAGCACCCTTCTACACGCCCACGGTAAGTCGACGATATATCGACGATATATGAGTGTACGATGAGTGAAACGAAAAGTAGTGCCGAGGTGAAAGTTCGTATGATATCAAAATTCATTTTATGCTCGTATTTTTTCTTTCCATGACCGGATGATTTTTGTCATCTGTGCATGCATTATTTCCACTGAAATACATGACTTATAACCGTTCACACGGTTCAACTACGCTGCGCGCGATAAGCTCGACACTAGCCTTTGAATCGGCTGTAACAGTATTTTGTCGCAACGGGATATGTACACTTTCCAGAATTTCCTCGCGGTGCGGAGAGTAGCGTATTCAACAAGCCTGGGGGAGAGATAATATCGATGCACGACTGGAGCAATTCGTGAAACAAAGGATATCATGGATTTTACGATATTATCGACGATAACATAACCCGGAAATTCTGAATTTCGTATATAGCTATATTCCATACATACCTATATAAATTATCTTTATTTCGTTTGTTAAAGACGAAACAAGCAAATGTATTTCATGGTATAGTGCATTCTATGATGTAACTCGTCTTGTTTGTTCTGCATAATATTATAAATATATGTAGTCTCAAGCGGAAATTCTAGATGTGAAGATGCTAGACGATACAGATAGTCTAAAATAATTATGCAGTAATTTTCCATTATTTAACTGATTTTCTGCAAGCAACTGCGTAACAAATTAATCTTGATTACACATATGTAACTATATAATTAATCTGTCGGACAAATTGTTGAGTTAATGCATTTAAAGGATTTAAAATAAAGCTAAATAAATATGCATACACCATCTATATGATAAATATAGTGTAAGAGGAGAGTAATTAAATGTAATATTATTGCACAAATACGTATAATCAAAATATAATATCGTATTTTTTGAAACGATAAATTGTTAAAATGACAATCCTTTATAACGTATTTATAATTCTGTGCAAATATTTTCGTGAATGTCGTGTATAAGAAGATTCCTTTATACTCTGAGTAAGAAATTCCAACAATTCTGTCAGTGTTTTCGAATTCTACTTGCACTCTTTCAAATGCTTTTCAAACTTGGTGTAAAGTACTAAAAGGTTAATATCTGAACGTAGTCGAGTTCATTGAAAGCTCGGGATGCGAGGTTTCTCCTCGCAGTACTTCCACGTTCCTGCGCACTACCGTTGATCTCAGATCGTCGAAACGTTCAACGTAGCTCTCCAATATCGATAAATGCTTCGTGAGAGCCAGCAATAGTAGCGACATTATATTCCGCCGTAAAATTTTTATCACGCGGATTAAATCCCAATATGAACGAACTTCTATATTTCTGTATCACTGAGTGCAGATTAAATTCTGATACGAATTTTTATATTCATGGCTTCGTTGAATGTTTCGAAATGACGTGTTTATTTAGCGGATTAACAAAGTTTAGCGATTCAATTTTTCCAATGTGACGCAATTTGCGCCTTTCGTTTACGCGTGCAGGAAAAAAAGCGCTTCTTTCCATTTCACACCGTTACTCCCTTCTCGTGGCAGCGATTTGCGATGTCATCACGATTAGGTGTCTGGGGAAGAGTTATTAATGTATAATCTAGAAGAAGTGCCTTTGTGTGTTCATCCACCATGCGTTAGACAAGCGTTATCGGACCACACGCGAAACGTGTACGAAGAAATAGCGACGAAGCGAAAATTTATGAATCCATTCTACCGTAACAGTAGGACACTGTCACGTATTGCCGAGTCGTTGTCACTAAGACCGAGTTGTTATCGTCGCTCTTTATGATCGAGCTTAAGGGGTGTCAGTATATAGCTATAGTCTGTTCATAACGAGGCAGCAGATTGTAAGGTCGCACACCGACTATGCGACATTACCTGTATAAAAGTCATTAAGTATCGCTTTTTGAAGAAAACGTTTATTTTCTAACCTCGGCTCTGCGGCATTCGCATTTACGCTGTTCATGGTAATTATCTAGGTTGTGGTTTCGTAGATTTATGTAGCGTAATTCCTGTCGCAAACGTTGCTTTTTGCAAAGCCCCGAACGTTATCGTGTAAAAACATTTCGTCTGTTTATTTCGTCTGTCATTTTGTGTGTATTTCGGATATTTGATATTAATCCTCCGACTGCAATCACATTTTTATTTGCACCGTGCAATTTGAGTTTTTTCTGGTCAGCCTAAGTTCTTTTATTGTTCTAGGCTTTTAAAAAAATTCAAGGTTATTTTTCAATATTTCTATTATATTATCAAATAGTTTTTTATAGAACGGGAAAAATGAGACTTCATTCTCCTTTATGTTGGAAAGAAATTTGAGTTAAATTTCGTTTATGCCAAAGAATCCAAATTGGAAACAGAGGATTAATAACATATCAAATTAAGATGTTATCATGATGCGATATATTTATTTAGTCTTAGGAATATATTCCTTTAAACCTGTATACAGGTTAGCGATTTTGATTGATGATTGCCCAGTTCTATTTCAGCCAATCATGATGAACTCGTTGCATCGTGATTGGCTGAAATAGAACCGGGCAACCGTTAATCGTAATTGTCAACTCGTAGTTTGACAACTCGGGCTTAAACACACTTTTAAAAATACAAAAAAGATATTTAAGTAAAACTTCTGTTTAATTATCAAGTGCCATTAAAAAGTAGTATATAATACAAAAGATCAGAAAAAGATAAAAGTTCTTAAAAAAGAAAAAAAAATTTTTTTAAGTAAAGAATATTTAGGATATTCTAAAACGATTTTACTCGATAACAAATTTTCCTCGGAAAAAGAACATTCTGAAATATAGCCCTAGCAAAGAATATGAGAGAGATAGAGAGAGAAAGAAAAAAAGACGAAACCTTTCATGAGCCTATCATACCCGTTAGATAAAATACAGCAGAAATTTAATAGCGACCATCCTGTCATATAAGCGAGGTCATGGGTTAGAGAAGCAAACAAGAGAGCCACACACATCGATCCTAATTATTATTATCAGCGCTTTGCCAGCTATTCTTTCATCATCGTTGATGCATCAGAGATCGGGCCGAGCCGTGCGACCGATACGAACTAATTGCGACGTTCGTTCCGAAAAATGAATCTCTCTTTCGAGCAAATTAACCGCATTCTGCTCGATTTCATTTTAACGTTGTGATAACGATGACCGGGTATGCATACATATGCGCGGTAATAATCGAAATAAATCCGTGGCGTGTGCAAATCAGCATGGCCACTTGAAACAACTTGTAAAAATTATTGTTGGCGCACTGCTAATATAATACACACATATATATATGGTATATATACACACACTGCGTTTTATACCTATATATATATATTAATAGCCTCGAGAAAACTGTATGGCACAAAACTATTTAAACTTTTCCGACGTAAAACGATCTCGTACAATAATTACTCTTATTATTGTCGTTAATTTATCATTATTTTTCACCTTGTCCCTTGTTATATATATATATATATATACAGGGTGTTTCCAAAATACCGCCCAGTATTTATATAGCGTTATGCCTGATAAAAAATTAAGTCGATTACTATTAGGAAATTTTTTTCCACCGTGCTTACCGAAGCAGTTATTATCGAGTAAAGATAATCCAACCAACACCGTGTTTTAAACGGACGCACGTCGGTGAGCCGCGCATTAAGATATTTTTATTGGTTTATATGTTGTTACAGGCCGCCGGTCTAGATCTTAAAGAAAATTTGGGCGCTGGTGCTGCAGCAGCATGGCCTTATCCCTCGATGTACCATCCTTACGATGCTGCTTTTGCGAATTATCCCTTCAATGGGTAAGTGTTGTAAATATTACACGCATTATTACATTTAGCGTATGACGTCGATATCTATTATGTACACATCTACATACGTATACAGATTCAAACACGGGCCAAAACAACAGTCGTTTAATTAGATAACAAACTGCATCTCGATGCAAACAAGCTAGGCAATTTCTGATTGTTGTTTTAAATGGAATTATGCAATTACTGAAAAATTAACTCGTTGACTTAAAAATATTCGCATAAAGAGCGAAGGCAATCCGAGCGAAATGAACGTCACGTGCCATATCACAGGAAGGTAAAAATTTCCCGAAAGATTCTTGTGAGTGATAAAAAAAAAATGCCACGTTATAATTTTTATTTATCTCCTTAGTGTTGAAACCTTACAGCAGACGTGATAATTATTTTAATGCCACCGAAACAATGTTACACAGAAAGGGTAGAGTACTCCTGCTCTACAGTAAGAGCGTAGCATATTTTTGCAAATCTATAAGACGCAAACAAATCTTAATTACCTCGTAATCTCTGCGATGCATTATGTATTTTCAACGTCGACGCACTTTAATGCCTTTTCCGTCGCGAGAAAGGGAGAAAAGGAGAGAAAGATCAGGTTGTACGTACTCCTTTTCCTCTCTACGGTCGATACGCTGGTGCACGGACGGAGATAAGACGGCGAGAGAAACACATAAACATTCCAATAAATTAGCGCTCAAGTGACCCGGGGCTGTCGCCGCGACGCTTTTTTTTCTCGCGCACTCGGAATCGGTCGCGGCGTGTCGTGACGCGGTCGGCGAAAGGTCTTGTTTGATAATTTCAAGTCGGATCACCGGGATAATGGAGATTAAACATTTGGAGAAAGAGTATCCGGCGCATCGCACACGATGCGACGTAACGCGACATTGCGAACGATTTTGATGCGAGGTCATTCGAAATATTGATAATTATAGTTTGCTTAGTCGGGTTTCCGGGATCTCGACAGTTTATGAGATTGTGACCGAATCGAAAAACTCCGACTGTTATAACGTCGTCGTGCATTTCATGCGCGAACGAAGAATTATTGCGCGTACACACGATGACTGGCTCGTATCTATGTAAATATGACCGATAATGTAAATTACTGTTGGACATTAGTCGGTCCACGCTTGAAATATCTCTGTATGAATATCACAGTTGGGTCACTTTCAATCGTAGCGAATATGGGCCTCGATCGCTAATGAGACTTTGGCTGCTTTCCTTTTGCAGTCGACACTGTTGATATAAATCGACACCCATTGCTTTCCTTTTATAATTTTACTCAAACTCAATCGATACTGCACCCGGGAGGAGAGTCGGAGTGTGCTTAATTATGATTTCAACCGATTGAATAATATTAGAACGTATCCACAAACCAGCTCCTACCATTTATATTAATATACGTAACATTGAAAAACACACCGTCTGAGAAAAATTTTAAGCCAATTGTAAATTTTGTAAGGCTAGTATTAAAAATTCGCACACACTGTGTACGCATGACGTGCCATTTAATTGTGGCGAACTGTACTCAAGTGTGTTAACTTGGTTGAGTTGTGTCTCCTAAAAGGAACACAGCCTTTATTCTTAAAACGTCTCAGTCGCGTATAACTCTGGCGCAGCCTGTGAAATTCTATTCTAAGCGTTACTGTCATAGCGTTTATCTTTTTCTACGTAATATCTATAGCGCTGATGCGTGTCAACAAATTGATAAAGATTCAATTCCTAGCGTTCTTTTACGTCAATGACGTTGATCGAGGCATTCGATATCCCGCTGCTTCTCGGGGAAAAATATATATATACTAGTATGTATATAATAGATGGTCACGTATTTCGCCATGACGCGAAGAGCGGGAGACACGCTCCTCTAAAGGCGAAGCAGCGAGCCTGGTTGACAACAGTGGTCAACGCGTGGAATCTATACTACCGTGCGTGACGCACTTCCGGCGATGACTGTTTCGTATGCAAGGAAACGATCGGGTAATACAGCTTGCTTAGCATCCATTCGCTCTAGTCGTGGCCGAGCGACCGAGGTCCTCCTTTACGGGGACCCACCGGGGTCCGTGGGCCCCGCGCCGCACCGGAACTATACACGCGCGAGTTCTCTATGCGGATTGTCAACAGGCGATTCAAGCGGCAACCGCGAAGCAATCGTAGCTGCACCTGCGCCAATCAACTCAGGACAAAGACACTAAATGGCAATCGGAAATGTCCTTTCGAAGAAAATTTTATATCTATTTCTTTGATGCTTTCCAGCAAAAGACACAGTAAACAACACAGTGATCATTTCATCTTTGTATAATATTAGCAAGCAACAAGGATGTGACGATTCATCTGGAAAGCATCCTTATCAGATTCACCGAGGATCGTCGAAAGAATAACCGATTTTCTTCTTCCTTTTCTCGTGAAATTATGCATTTAGCTAATGCGCGTCTATTCGAAAAGTTTCGTGTGCGTTGGCGACACGCCCCGTTCTCGCGTTTCCATCGCGTTTCGAGACGAACGGATTTGCACGACAAACGTAAAAGCTTTCCTTGACTCCGTATATAAAGCGCATTATATTCAGCCCTTTATCGAATTGTATGCACGCGATATCTTTTAACATCGTGCCATGTAGGTGAAGCTAATAAGAAATGCTTACATTGATGTTTAAGAAGCAGTGTGCGAGGCCTGAGGCGCCCGTTATTGTGAACGCCTATTATATCTTATCATTAAAAGGAATGTGTTACTTGTATTCTTTTTAGCTCTTGTTCTTACAACAACCGGAAGCGAAAAAAACCGACTTTAAAGTTTAAAATACTCACTTTTGTTTATTCATCATTCTACTGTGTGCATTATTAGCTCGTATCACATATTATATACATATAATTTTCTTGTAGACAGTTTCTTAGCATGTAACTTTCTCTTCATATCTTACATCGTCTAAAGCGCAAACAATATATTGCATTAAATTATTAAATAAAAAATTTATAACTTGTATATAAAATTAATTATTCTCTGTATTGTTAATTATTTATATTATAAATTATTATTACTTATATTATATATTAATTATTCTTTATATTATGTTTCGTAACGGAAAGCGCTAGCACAAAGTAATTTTTAACAACCACGTAATAGTTATATCATCAACTTATTTCTGCAACTACTTTCATCGTGAAACGATTTATTATTATTATCCTCGGGGCAGTGACGCGCGGTAAAGATATCGTGCGAAATGTTTCGGTATAACGCCTGGCCCGGAACTATCCCTTAAATCGGAACTGGGAGGTGCGAAGGATCTGGCGCATTATGCGCGAGCGTGCGCGACGACCACTTAACATGAGCATACAAAAAGCCAATAATGCAGCGTTGGCATGCACGACCGCAAGGTCTCGGGATCGTGCGGGTTAACGGTCTCGTCTTTCCGGCGGATTGGCCCTGCTTCCGGAGACATATAGGGTAGACAATAAGAAAACGACGAACAGGCCCCTCTGTCGTACGGGCAGGCCCGCTTACGTCGTCTCGCGCGCTTATGTCCGGCATATCGTTGAGACCGATCGCCGATACGTAGTATTATTAAGCGTGTCCGTACAACGACACCGATGTGTCGGCACGCGCTTCGAGTCTCGTACGAGTATCTCGAGGCACGGCACGAGAATTCTAATGAATACCTATGTGAAGTCATCAGATAGACGAACGAGCGTGGTTATTAATGGAGAAAAGAAGATTCTTCGTAGAACTATATTTGTCCGTTGTGAAATCGAATACAATACGTGCTTCTCAAAAATGTAGCTTTCTAAGTCCGCCTAAATTCGTCAGCGATGAAATTGCCTAAGTATAAAAAGATAAATTCGTGATTTTATCTGGTGAAAGAACGATTTTGCTGAAGTATTTAAAAATTTAGATATACAGATATGAAAATAATTTTGTTAAATTATCAAAATATAATTATATATAAAACGCTTAAACGTTAATGGTAAAAATTTTAGCATCAGTTTAAGCGACATGCACTGTTAAATTCATAATATTAATCTATATAAATTGGAATTATTTTTAATCATTTTTAAATCGTTACTGCGCTCCTATACTCATAATCAGCATGTCGTTAATTCAATAAAAATAATGAAGTTAAATAATTTAGCTCAAAAAGATATATTAAATTTGACTCAAATTTATTATTTACTAAATACATACGTTAATGTGGTCGTTGCTTATTTTGGAACTAATCATAGAAATCTATTGATTTTAATTCATATATAGAAATCAAAAGTAGCAAAACGTCATTTAACTCAAGGGATTGGATTACCATTGCTCCTTTTATATTTAATAACGTATATAATTATTTTAATGGTTCGAACAAAATTGTTTTTAATTCTGTGTATTTAGCTAAATTTTTAGATACTTCAACACAAAACAGTGCATTTTCCTTCGATTTTAAAAGGACAGTTAAAAGGCTTCGCAGCTGAAGGAACAGCACGTCGGTTTGACGTTATCATTTAGAAATTGGAGTCTTAACAGCAGCACCCACCGCGCTCGCCGCTGATAGGACTCGAAATATTTCGCAGCTAATGAGACGAGGCGGGGCTGATATTCCGCACCCTTCGGTGCCCCGCCCGTGAGATACGTCTCGCGTGGATGATGTACGGCCGTTTAATGACCCGGTTTCAGTCCCGGGGGACGGTTTTTGCTTGGGTGGTAAGGGTTGAGGGGGATGTGCACGGCGGAAAAGTCAGCGACACTCGTTTTTCGTTAGACGAAGGGATCGCGGGGCCCGCGCGCACAGCTTCGTTCCTTCGGTAACATGCGGATGACAGCGATTCGTCGAACCGCGTGACAGGCAGCCCGCGGAATGCACACCGCTCTTTCCCCATTAGGCTTAATGGACGTAGATTAGTCCTGCCCTGGCTACGTATGCGCGTCAGGATTTAATGACTTGGCCGCACCCCTCCACCCGATATCGTTGTCTTCAGTCGAACAGACGTTGCCGAGAATAGCGAGCTGCACTGATTGCAAGCGGATGA